GCCCGCCCCCCCCCCCCCCCCCCCGCACGGCTGCTCTGCCAAGACCGTCACCCGTGTGGAGCTTTCACGAGGGCACGTTCCCACCTCGCAGATGAGGAGGCAGAAACCCACAGCAGGCCGCACGGGAGGTCGTGTCCTGGTACCTGATCTGCGCCTTCTTTGCTTCAGCCGTTTGGAGCCCTGCCCTGCTCCACTAACCCGTCGCCTGACCACCTGCGCTGGGCCTTGGTGCACAGAGCCCGCTGCCCCTTCCTTAGCCAAGTGCACCCCAAGGGCAGGGGCTCCATCTCATGAGCCCCTTGGTCCCCCAAGTGCCCCACTGACAGCCGAGCGCGGAAAGAGCCGGCAGCCTCCACGCGCCCGCGTGGGGGCTGCTGCCCCACTGCCCGAAGGGCTCTGAGGGGTCCGTCGGCCACCGAGCCCCACCTGCCCCTTCCACCCACCGGTCTGGGGACACAGACCTAGGTCAACCCCCAAGTGACTGTGTGAGGATGGCCACGTGGCCCAAGCACAGCCGGAGTCCTTTCAAGAACTGGGGAGAGGCCTTCCGGCTGGGGCTGAGCTGCAGGGACGCAGGGGTGAGGCCTGCAGCGAGAGGTGCAGAGGCAAGTAGAGCAGAGAGAGAGAGATGGGAAGATGGACCCTGGTACTGTGCCTGAGCCCCGGACCACCAGGGCCTCCCGACACCTGAGCCGAGGACCCGCCCCAGCAATGGAGACTCCGGGATCCCACCCTGAGACCAGCCTGTGTTCCACAGAACTGCTCTGCCATCCTTGGGGCAGGGGGCCTCCTGAGCCCTTGCCTCAGGCCTCCCAGGGCAAACGGGAGGCTGCCTGTTGACACAGTGTGCAGGGTCCACACCTGCGCTGTCCTGCAGAGACTCAGGAGCTTGGGTCCCTGCACCACCCTGGAGGCCTGGAAGCCTGGCGGGCTCCTGGTGGGGAGCTCCAGAGAACACTCTTCTGGGGAAAGGCTCAGCTTCCGGGCTCTCCAGGTCCCTGGGTCCAGGGCATTCCATGTCCACTCTGCTCCCCTCCCCCCGGCTCCAGCTGCTGTTCACGGAGGGCCCACAGAGGCCCTGTCCGTCAGCCCCAAGGCCTGAGCTGGGACTCGCCGGCCACGGGCTCAGGAGCTCTGTTGAACAGCCATTTCCAGAGCAGGGCAGGCAGCAGCCACCCTCCGCCAGCAACCCGGCTCACATTTGGTGACACACAAGTCCCTGGAGCCCAGGCCTCCGTACCACTTGGGGCTCTCACCCCTTGAATCCTAGCCTGAAGGCCTCAAACACTACCCACCGCTCAGCTCACGAGCTGTGTCCAGCGAGCCGTGTCTCCTGCAGTGTGGCCCACCCTCTACCTACGAGGACGCTGGACTGCACACAGCAGATGCTGGGCGAGTCCCGGAGGGAAGCAGGTCCAGAGGGGTGTCGGACTGGAGGGGGAGCCCCCTGCCTGGGGGAGCTGCTCAGGGGCTTAAGAGAGACACTGCACGTCAGCAAGCCCGGCTTAACCAAGATGCTGCCCACCTTCCTAGAGGCTGGATCCTGCCGCACAGCCCCGCACCCCAGGCCGCACCCCGAGGGTGAAGCAAACCCCGTGGGCACCGGGTGGCTTCCCAAGGTGAGGAGGGTCGTCACAGAAGACCCTGCTGGGGAAGGGGAGGGATGAGACAAAGCCTCCGGTGACAGGGATCAGGTGCTGGTCACTCCGGGGCTCCATAAATGCAGCAGACCTGAACCGAATCCCTGACCTCTGGACCACACAGAAAGGCCGGGGGCAAAATTTCCAGACCCCAGTGTCTCAAAACAACGGCAGTTAATAATAACGGTGAGAACGGTGATAAAAGACAAAACCCCACGGGCGGGACAAGGACCCACCGGATGCCTAAGCGCTTTAAATACACCACCCGGTTTAACCCTCACGACCACCCACAGAGTGGGTTCCACCACTGGCCTCAATTATTTTTGAGGGCAACTGAGGCTCAGCATGGTTAAGCCCCTTGGCTAAGGCAGCCAGTGAGTGGACACAGCAGGGTCTGAACCCAGTTCCGCCCGTCTCTACAGCAGAAGCACCACCACCCACCTCGGGCTCAGCCAGAGTCCCCGAGCCCGGCTGCCCCCAGCCCCGCGCTGCCCACCACAGCCCGAGCGCCACTTACCTGCTCGTGTCAGAGAGGGGATGGTTCCCAGTGAGAGGGCCCGGCTGAGGCGGCCGGGCAGCGAGGAGGGCGAGGCCCGGTGGGGAGACCGGAACAGCTGCTGGTTGGCAAGTGGCAGGAAGCCAGGCGGGGCGGGGATGAACAGAGCCGGCGAGGGGCCTGCGACGCTTGGGCAGGGGACGGCCAGGCTGGGGCTGGCGGGGAAGAGGCCGGCAGAGTCTCCCGGGAGGTACCTGCGAGAGAGAGCCCGGCGGGCATGGGAGAGGGGACTGGGTCAGCCCCGGGGGCCCCCGGAGCAGCCTCCGCACGGTGGGCCCCCTCCCCTCCCACGGTGCGAGGTGGGGCACGAGTCGGGGTCCCAGAGGAGGCGTGTGTTAGTTGCAGCAGAAAAGCAGTCCGACCACATTCACGCCATTAGGAGCGGGTGGCTGGGAGGTGCCAGCGTGACCCACCCCTCCCGGCATGCCCCCTCCGATCCCCCTCAGCCTCACAGCAAACTAGGTCCACTACGAGTCTCGGTATTAAAGTGACACTGTCGCCCTCGCCAGCCTCACGCCAACCCTTCACCTCGAAGCAAAAAACGCCCAGCCCTGCGCTGGCCGCTCAATCGGGCTGACGGCCTTGGGCTCCTCTGCACCGCTTCCCGCTTGGTGCCCAGAGCCTCCCGGCAGCGGCCGAGCTCGGGGAGCCCCTGCTCCCCAGGGCCCGACCCTAGGAGTCCTGCCGCTGCCCTCTGGTCTCAGACACTCCTCGAAAGCCCCTGGAAGAGCAGGGCGGAAGGCAGCCAAGCTTGGGAATCTCTGGGAAGAGGCTCTGGCCGGACACCAACTTGAACTTAGAAAGACCCGTAACGATCGCAAGGCTGCCCGAAAGACGGAAGGTGACAGTGTCTCTTTAACTCGAGAATGGTACAGATCACACAACAGGACCCGGTGGCCCCAAGCCAGAATGTCAACCATGCTTCTGATTAAGGCAACCGATTACAGGGGGGGAGGGACAGAGGCAGTTAATACATGATTAGTCCGCCGTCTGGACGGAGCTGCGGGAGGTCCAGCCTTACCTCGGTCCCCAAGGGGCAACTGAGCCCATGGATAATGTGCCGATGGACGGGCAGGCTGGCTCAGTCCCTGCAGCAGAGCCGGGGGGCTGCCTAAGGTACCCACCCCGTGCCCACCACGACCTTGAGCTCGGGGCACCACTGGCCAGTATCTCCACTCCACTGATTTCCCTATTTTTCATCCCTGCCCCTCTCTTTAAACAAGTTTTATGAGGAAAGTGTGAGGTCAGCTGATGCCCTCCTGGAGAATCGCGTGACCTCCTTAAAGCCTTCCAAAGCACCAGGAAGCCACCTGGACTTCAGAACCAAAGCCCAGTGTCTGGGGGACACGGGGAAGTCAAGGCAGGAGCTCATCAAGCATATCTACGGCAGAGTCTGGGCAACCTGGCTGGCCCCAGGCTGGACGCGCCTGCATTCCACCCGCTGACGCATCCTGCCTAAGCCTGTCTGACCCCTACACCTCCTTTCCCCCAAAACGCCTGCAGAAGGTTCTGCCTCTAAATACAAGATACGATTTTGTGCTGTCATTTTAGAATGACATACCGTTTGGCAGGACAGACGACCTTGAGGAGTGGCCTGCAAGGTGGGGGGACACTCGGCACGACAGTGAAGGGCAGTGAAGGTGCGCTGGGACCTTTGGCCAACTCGCTCCAATCACGCACGAAGCCCCGCCCCCTGCTGGGGCCTGCACCTCCCAGAGGACCCCGTCTGCCCTGTGCAGCAGCAGCCTGATGAGGGCGGGGCACGTGGGCCATGGGGGTGGGCACGCCCGGGCCCTTCCAGCGGGTGGCAGCGCGACTCTGCCTGCGCTGAGCTTCCTGTGCCACCCCACCGGACAGCCCACAGGCCAGGCCAGGCCATGAGTCGGCCGAGGGCCACCTGCAGTAATCGGCAAGTAAGAGGAGAGGGTCCAAGTTGGGCTGCAGGTTTCAAAGGTGGCCAGCTGGGCCCAGAAGCTGGGTCTTGTCAGCTCTTTCCTACTCTTCCCGGATCCTGCTCACACCTGGGGCTGCCCCAGAGCTTATAACCCGAGTCTCTCATCCACCCGGCACAGGTGCTTTGCCAATCTCTGATGCTACTAAAAATGGTGGCACCGAGGGGGAGACGGTTCTGTGGTCTGACCCTCTCGCTGGGACATGCAGTGGCATCACTCAACTAGCAGATCCTTGTGAAGCGCCAAGCGTGAGCCCTTGTCCTGGTTCCGCAGAAGACAGGCCCCAGGAGGCCCCTGTCAAAGGAGCCCCATCTCCGCCAGGCTCCCGAGCGCTGCACAGGGACCAACACTTCCTCTGGCGAGGCCCGCCCAGACTGCCTGTGCCTTCAAATCCCATCTCAGAGAGGCCCTGGCCCAGATCCAAGTCTGTGTGTCCGCCAGGACACAGGGGCTCCAGCAAGGGGGCGGGTGGCTGGCTGCACTGCCTCCCATCTGACACTGAGGGGGACCTTTGATTTTCCAAGCCAATCCCAGGCCAAGCCGGGAACAACAGGAGAGAGAGGACTGCATTTTAAGCAGCAGTTTATGGAGACGAGAAGCACGAGCTAGCAGGGTGCCCGAGGATGGTGGGGCCTGAGCTGCTTGGTGCCCATGCTGCCAGCTCCCAAACCTGGCTCTGGTGGGCACCCCCGTCCCCCGAAGCCCCCGCCCCCGGCACAGAAGCCTCTGGAACGTGAAAGAAAAAAACCAGAAAAGACGTGGTGCCTGACGCCCACCGGTCAAAGCAGGGCCCCGGAGGCATTTATTGAAAATACAGCATCAAAAACACTACATCTATGGCCGGGAGTTGTGGTTACAGTAATTAGAGGATCACTAGACAATCATCCACGTCTGCACAAGAGAGGACGGGACACTCGGTGACAGCTGCAGGCAGAAGGGACACGGGCCCCTCGCAGCGGGCTCCTGGGCAAGCGTTACGAGTGAGCCTGCTCGGCCTGGGGTGAGGAGCCCAGAGCTGGAGGGAGAAGGCGGCCCCTTGATCCCAGATGGTCTGACTGTCGTCCCCAGCGGAGGGGAGAGAGGCCCCAAGCAGGGCCGACACGTTCCCAGGTAATAAGCCACGATCCCAGCGGTGCCCGCACTTCCTCAGCTGTCGCCAGTAATGTCGGAAGGTGCTGGAATATGCTCTATGTAATGGAACTTTAAGGGACAGGCGGGTGATTTTAAAACACCACACCAAACACTAAAGAGGCCAGGAAGCCTTCCTCGATGAGCTCCATCTCAGTGACATGAAGGTGTCTTTCCGTCCCCACTAGAGGGCAGGAGCGACATCTGCTCAGCAGGCTCCTAGCCAGCAAGAGAGCTGGTTAGGGTTGTTATAAATAATTTAACTTAAATACACACGTACACACAGATGTCCTGCTTCTACTCAACACCAAGAAAAACAGTAATTAGCATCGCACTGCCAGCTTCCTTGAGAACAGGAGATTCCAGAGGGCAGGGCATGCACAGCCAACAGACACTGGCTCCCTGCCTGGCGCCCACCACGCCTTCTCCCTGAGGCTGGCCGCCGGGCCAAGGGACAGCCAGCCCACTCCCCCTCTGCCTCGTCAGCGCCCTTCCGCCTCACGCTCCACCCGAGCGCCGAGGGGTGAGTGGCGAGGGGTGGCCGCCTCGGAGCCCGAGAACCCGAGGATGGAGGGGCCTGGGTGCGACTCCTGTTCCCCGGGGGCTCTGCGAGGGGCCTGAGCCGGGCACGCTCCACCTGCCCCTCAGGCTCAGCCAACTGGTGGCCCTTTCCTGAGTGTGACCTGCACACGTGTGTGATCCGCTCTTGTCTTCCCTGGGCTCCCATGTGTGCAGCGGAGGGGTTGGCGCACTTGGGGCCACACCTGGAGGGGGCTCGTGCCTGCAGCGAGGAATGGCAGGACCGAGGGCCCTGGAGGGGCGCACGGCCTTGGTCCAGCCTCCTGCCACGGCCCTGGGAGGGCAGCCCCCAGGCTGGGAACTGCCTCCAAACGTAGACGGCACGTCAGCCTCCAGAGCACATCCACGCCAAGGTCAGCACTCAGGGGCCCTGGAGAGGGGTCCAGCTCTCCATCCACAGGCAGCAGACAGGCTGGCACAGCAGGGCCTGGCCCAGGGAGAGCGAGGCTGAAGGCCTGTGGGGTCTGTGGCTGTCCTACAGGGAAGTGGGAAGCAGGAGCTGAGGTGCTCTCCCTGAGTGGCTCTAGGGGCCAGGAGGAGGGCAGTGACAGGCCAGAGAGGGACAAGGTGACAATGACCTGGTGTCATGGGCCTGCGTGTCCCTTGGGCTCCTTACTCCATGCTAACCTTGGGCAGTTGGAACACTTCCCAGGCATCATACTGGAGGAAGGGGGTGAGAGGAGGAAACTGGGGACACCCCTGGCATGGGGCGAAGGGAACAGGGCCAAGGAGAGCAGTTCAGACCCTGCGCTGCCTGCCAATCAGGGCCGCCTCGGCCCAGGAAGCCTGAACCCCAGTCCCTGCAGGGAGTGAGTTGAGGGCTTGGCCATAAAGGTTGGGGTCCTGCCTTTCGAGGGCAGAACCGGGGGCTTCCCAGGAGAGTGGGCAGAGTGTGTGTGCCCAGGTTCTGCCTATCTGGCTCACAGTGGTGCCCAAAAGATAGAGAAGTAAAGGAGAGAGTATTTAGACCTTAGACCTCCTAATTGGCCTTAGCCTGGGCCAATTCTCACCACGGCCTGGCTGTTAAGATACCTGCTGACCACAGGAGAAGCAGGATTTCCTCCTGTCCACCTTGAGAAAGGCCTCACCCCACACACTCACGGTCAAGGCCTGTCTGGGCCTAAGAACTGCACTCTCCATTCCTGGGGAAGGAGACTGAGGGATAACAGGGTCTCAGAGCAGGGAACCCAGGGGGCAGCCCTGTCTCCTCCTGTTTTCACCAGCTCCACGGGGCTTATGGGGCAACGGGCAGGACCAAAGGGACAGACCAGAGAAGCGACGGTGGGACGAGGTAGGGGACTCTGCTCTGGCCCCGGCTCAGCAGCACCTGCCCATGCCAAGCAGCCCGAGTGGTCAGGCCATGCGGCCAGGGCCCAGCCTGCAGCCACCATCACCAACCCATGTCAGGGGGCCCAGAGGTGGGGCAAGGTGAGAGGAGAAGCAGGCAGCAGGCCTGCAACCCTCTTCCCGTGGTGTCAGAGCCAGGAAAAGGGCCATGGCCAGTGTGGGGTGCCTAGAGCTGCCAGCAGGAAGCCACGGGTCAGAGGCAGGCAGCATGGGTGCTGCCCGTGTTCCAGGCTCAGGACTGTGAGGGGGTCTTTGGCCAGAGAGGTGGAGGCAGTGAGCAGCTAGAGAGCACTCAGTGGGCTAGGGGCCTGGGCTGGGGAATGGCTTGGTGGAGCCAGAAAGGAAAGGGGGGCAGGCCTGACTCCTTGGGGAAGTGGAGGGGCTAGGCCAGGACCGGGGGCCCTAGGCTGGGCGGGGGCGGAAGTGAGGCAGGTAAGAAAGATGCAAGACAGAGGGGCCCTGTCTGCACTGTGGGCAAAGCCCTGGGCCTGTCCGTCCGTCTGTCCTCCCCCCGCAGTCACTGCTGCTTCTCTGACCTTCGGGGCCGGAACCTCCGTGGGCCCGTCGCCTTCCTCGTGGCCACGGCTGCTGTGAAGCCCACCAGGCAGCACAGGGACGTGGTGCTGAACTTGAGCGTGTCCAGCCAGCTGGGCGAGGCAGCCTGCAGGTACTGCTCAGCCAGGTGCAGCGCCAGCAGCAGGGCCCACAGGCCAGTGGAGAAGGCGTCGATCCTCCGGAGCCTGCGGGGACAGCGGGAGTGAGGGCCCAGCGAGGCGGGATAAGGCAACCCTTCCCACTCTGCCACCTTCATCCACCCCCAGCCCTGCTCAGAGGACAGAACTCAGGGCCATGAGGAGAGCGTGGGCCTCTGAATGCCGCTTCCAACAGTTACAGGCCGCATGACTCCGAGTCACTGTTTCTCTGAGCCTCAGTGTTCTAGTCTGTACGATGGGGCTAAGAAACCTCCCTCAGAGTCACTGGGAAATGATGTGGACACCGTTCGGTACAGGGTCTGCAACCGCACGGGGAAGCAGAGCAAAGGCCCAAGGGCGCCCACTCAACCCTCCAACAGCCCGTGAGCCAGGTTATCATCAGCCGACTCTGCAGAATGAGGAGCCTGAGGTGGAGCAGCGAGGTGGTGTGGCCCCAGTGGCCCCTCAGAGCCCCGCCCCTGCAGCCTGGAGCTTGGCTCCCACCGTGCCCCGCCCGCCTGCCCCCCACGCACCTGAGGCGGCCGGCCAGCAGCATGGCCAGCAGGCAGGTGAGCAGGCCCAGCCCCACGACGCCCATCTGGTGGCTCTGCCCAAAGGCCCAGGCCTCGTGCAGCTTCTCCGCCGCGTGCTTGGGCAGCAGGCCCAGCAGCTGCCGCCAGCCCTCGGTCCCGGGGGCTGTGCTGTTGTCAGGCGGGGCCGAGCCATTGCTACCAGGTGGCAGGGCCGGGGGCAGGGGCGCCCCCGGGGCAAAGGGGTTGCTGGTGCCGTACAGCGCGGTGGGCAGCAGGAAGGCGCAGGGCAG